ATGTAATAAAGTTTCCCAGAATGTCATTCTGCGGCTATGCATACCCCCCAAAGTAATATTCCACCTGAAAGAATTACAATAAAATCCCATCTTTCTCAAGTACACCTGGTGATACAATAAAATCACCGGTTCTCAATAGTAAACTGGTGATGATTCCTGGAATTTCCGGTTCCTCGATGGCGCCACATCAAATTTAATGGCAAAAATTCCCTAAGACACACCTCCGCAGAAAAAAAAAAACAGAAAAAAAAATAAAGAAAAAGCATAAAAAGAATAATAAGATACATAATCCTGCCAAATAAATAAAAATAAAAAAAAAAGAAAAAGAAATAAAAAAAATAATGATAAGTGATATAAAAAATTAAATGATAAATAATATAAAAATAAGTTCATAACTTTCTGAGTTATCCCGCGCAGGATCCGGATCATGAACCAGATCGCCACCAAAATCTACTGGAATCTAAGTTGGGCGAAGACACACCTCTGGTAAAAAAATTCATTAAAAAAATATTCATAACTTTTTTAGTTATCTTTCTAACCAACGGACAAACAAACTAACCAACGCTACCAAAAACATAACCTTGGCGGAGGTAATAACTAAGCTCATGTCCATGAAGTTATAAGCGTTTGATACATATATATTAGCTGAGTTTCATTGATTTTTAACAAATATTTACAAATCCTGTCTATCATTAATGGACGAAGAAATTACAACAAAGGAGAAAGTACATCCTAATATTCGTTATCAAAAAGAAGTTACTCAAAATTCAGATCAAAATGAACACGATCTTCCCGCAGAACAAGCAAAGTGTGCTGAACAGGACGAGATCGACTTGGAACAACAGCATGAGGATCAGTTAGCTCAAGGACCTACTTACCTGTGTTTCTCCACCTGCAATTATACCAGGAGGTTGGTACTGAGATTAATGATTCACAAGGTATAGAATCACTTATAATAGGAGATATATCATACCAAGCAGCTTTAGATGTAATTATTTTCATAAGCAGTTAGTATTAAGATGTGATATTATTCATATAAGGGATAGTGGCATTTTAAAAGCAATAACGTATGTGAATTCAAGCACAATAGCAACTTTCACCTACATTCAAAAATTTATTCATTAGTTGTCTGACATGGAACAAGCTACCAAACGATGTGAAATTCCCAGTTCGATCACGGAATTTAAGACTATAATGTTTCCGATCAAAAAAAAAAAAAAAAAAAAAAAAAAAAAAAAAAAAAAAAACTATATATATAGGAAAAAAATATATATATAAAATTGCATTTCTGGAACACTCTGAATCGTCAAATCTCTTCTTGTATTCTAATCAGCTGATACTTGATATTTATGTTTATGCATGCTTTGTATTTCAAAAATGATGTACAATAATTCTCATTATTTCGTCTTACTGAAATTCCCTTCCTTCTACACCCATTTCGTTATTTTTTCCCCCAAAAAAGAATGTTCCAGAATCTAAAGCGAGAGTTGCCAATTGTTTCTTTCCTGTGTACAGTGAAAAGCGTCACGGATTACCTAGTTGAGAATATTCAGTAGTTTTGAGACACCCGCATGTCCTCAGTAAGCTGTATTTTTTTTAATCCTCTCTTTAGGTTTGATAATAGTAATAACTATTGTATTTAAATGCGTTTTATCTTATGTAGTATTCTGAATAATCTTAAATGACGCAAGATATTAAATATATCTGGTATTATATATATATAAAAAACATGGATCTGATGTACTTACCTTCATTTCTTCATATTCATTACAGACATCATTATTATTTCTTTATAAACATTTTATTTTTTTACCGTTATTTCCACCATTTCATGAATATAATTATTATATATTTCTTAAAACTTAACGTTTCATAATCATCATTATCATAATATTTTAGTAATAGCAATGTTTATCGCAGCTCAAACCTCTTTCCTATCTCTATATCTTTATCATATCAATCGCTCTATTCATGATTGTCGTTATCATTGTTACTATCCTTGTAATATTAGCGATTTTGTTGATGACATTGTTACTGTAATCCTTATGCTAATTTTATTGTCTGTGGCGTTCTAAATACAAGGGTTCTATTTTTTTTAACCGACTCCTAAATTTCAAATTTTCTATCGACCCGCCAGCCTATTATCATCTTCATTACTGCAATTATCATTGTGATAATGAAAATGATAGTAATGGTAATAATACAGATAAGGATCAAGATAATAGTAATGACGGTGATGGCAACGCTAAAGAGCAATGTGAACATTTTTCAGATTGTAAGCGTTTTTTACCGTTCATTAACTGTGTTCATCTTTCAATTCATGAATATATATACTCTCCTTTGTCCATTCATTATAAAATTACTTTTTTATTTTCAGGACTTAATGCAACTCGACTGATGACCTTGACGTCTTCTTTCTGGGGTCTTTGCCTAAGTAAATACTGTTGTTTCTTTTATAAAAGTATTGTTTGAAAATCACAATTGTTATTTTGATCATAGT